GGGGCTGGGATGAGGGATGCCCGCCGCCCCCCGTGATGTGGGGCTGAGCCCGCACAGCCCTGACCGGGCTCCGGCAGCGCCCCCCCGACCCGGTCCGGGGGGGGACGATCAGCGGCGGGAACCGCGGGGTGGGCTCTGCTGCGGTGGTGGGGGGAGCCCCTCCATAGCCACAGCGGAGTGGCCAAGCCACCTCTCCCTTCCCCGGGCTGGGGGACCGGCCCCACGGTGCGCGGTGCCCCCTCACCATCACCGCCGCGGGTGGGTGCCCCAGGGCTGTCCCCGGAGGGACGCTGTGAAGGTTTTCCGAGGACATCATCCCCCACAGCATCAGCACCTCCCCATCATCTGGTACCCACGGGCCTTGCCGTAGCTCACAGAGATGCTGAGGACATGGCAGAGCACCTGCCCCTACCCTCGGTGCGACCACCAGGTCCTGGGCACTGTGCCCTGAACAGCCAGGCACCCCTGTAACAGGTATTGGTGTGCCAGCCTCGCCTGGCAGCCTCTGGCTGGCTCAGCAGTCCCTGGCAGATGGAGGGACACTGGCCCGGGACCAGAGCTGCAGGGCCTTCACGGGTGGCAAGTGGCCCTAGAAAGCTGCTCGTGCCTGCAGAGCTCACACTCAGACTTTGAGGTTAGCTGGTACCATGGCAGCACTACAAGCCCACCTGGTAACCTGGATGAGGAACGTAGCAAGTAGACAGCAATGCCCAAGACCAAAGGGTAGAGGAGATTTCCTTGGCAAGGTCACGCACTCGGCTCACACCGCTCAGGTCCTCTCCGAACACAGCCTGGATGGAGAGAGCTGTCTCTCCTCCATGCTTTAATCCCACCAGTCTGTGGGGAGCAGTGTCAACACTGGGCTGAGCCAGTGGATGCGACAAGACTGTGAGACCAGGTGTCCTCCACAAGTGAGATGTTGCAGTTCAGGTGTCTGCTTTGATTCTGTGGTGGTGAGACAGGAGTTGGCCCGTCCCTCCAGGCAGCTGAAGTCCTTCTGGGGAAGGATATGCAGGCCCCTGACAAGACCAGTCCCACTGATTCCTTCATGGGAGTTAAGCGGAATTCCAGAAGCAACCAGCAGCCCTCAAGAGTGATCTCCATGCCTTGCTGCCAGGTGCCAGGCTGGGACAACCCAGGAGACTGAGGTACTTGAGCTGAGACACAGCTATTGAGAAGCACTGTCCATGGCTGTAGCACAGGAGCAATCCAGCTGTGGACATGAATTGTGCAGCAGCTGTCCTGAACCTATCCTGCCTGCAGGAATTGAGATGACTTCTGGAACACCCCAGGACCCTCACAGCCATGCTCACATCTTCACCATGGAGAAGTACAAGACAGATAAGGTGCAGATGCACAGATGATCTCCAGTGCTTCCTTTCACACACAGTGTGCTCCAGCCCAGATTGAACTGTAGAAGGTTGCATGCAGGACTAATGGGGGGACAAGGACGTCTGTCTTTGAGGTTATTGGTGGGAAACATTTCGCCTGCCTTCAGCCCTGTCCACTGTAGGCATCTAGCTATGCTACTTGTGCACAAGTGCCATTCCTCAAAGGTGTTTTAGCTGCTGACAAAGCGAATGGCTTTGCTGCCTTTTCCCCTTTGCAGTCTAAGATGGAATGGTTGGGACTGGTGGCCGTACCGGGGGGTCCTCGGTGACTGGGGTGAACTCTCTGTCTTCTTTTCTGGGACTTCTTGACTGGTCATCCAACAGCAAAGGCTTGGCTGAGCAACTGCCAAGTCCACGGAGGTGGCTTGTGGCAAAAAGCACCCCCACACAACACTTGTCCTGCTCTATAAAGGGCACTGCAACCTGTGGGCAACCGGCTGGCAACCTGCTGTGCCAGCTCTGCATTGCAGGGGCTACATCGCTGTGGCCGCATTCGTGGCATCTGTGCAACTATGGATAAAGAACCTCTGGCCCAGCTGGGGGCAGGTCCCGGGGAGGAGGTACCTGCCTTGGTGCAGAAGAGGATGAGACAACAGAGGGAAAACAACTTTCTGCTTGGCGATGTGCCTTGCAACCCTACGGAGGTGTTAACGGTTTGAGGGAATCACAACAATTTATTGTTGTTTAGAAAATTATTCTCTGAACCGATGACCCCTCCCCATCCAGGAAGGGGAATCAGAGAAAAAAAAGGGAAACCCAGGAGTTGAAATGTAAACAGATTTAATACAGTAAGGGTAAATAATTAATAATAATACTAAAGAGCCAATATTGATCCTGGTACCAATATAAAATCCAGAAGGATTATACTCAGCCCATTCTATCTGTCCGTGCACTCCCAGCAGAGGACAGCAAATGTGGGACACTGCCACCACAATGGCTTCAGGAGGAAGGGAGGAGCTCAGGGGTCCAGCATGGGGGCAAGAGGTTCTCTGGACCACTGCCATCAGGGGAGAGAGCGAGCTCCTCAGCAAACTTTCTAATTTGTATTGAATGTGACGTTCATGGTATGAAATAATCCCCTTGGCCAGCCTGGGTCTCGCTGCTCCCCATCCCTGCACCTGAGAAGGCTCGAAACACTGACACTTTGAAACCCGCACACCACAGCTGGCTATAAAGTAAACATTATCACAAATACAAGAGTCTTCACTAAAGTCTCATAAAAAATGCAGTTTTCCATAGCATTAGAAGAGACCTTACCCAGAAGTCAAATCACTGCAAGAGAAATTAATCCTGTGTCTCTCAATCCAGGTCAGACGGGCATGAGGGGTTTGCAGACACAATATCCTCACGCAGAGTTAGTGGAAAGCCACCTTGTCCCGGCGCGCAGCCCCGGACACCTGCAGCAGTGAGGAGGTGCTGCAGCAAGCACTGCGCTCAGCTTCATCCCAGCCCACTGAGGACCAGGGGCCTGGCATGCCCGTGGTAGGCTTGGATGGAGCCCCACAGAGGAAGCTGCTCATTAGTTATACCCAATTAGTGTCATATCATGGAATCATGGAATAGTCAGAGTTGGAAGGGACCTCTAGAGATCATCTAGTCCAACCCCCCTGCCAAAGCAGGATTGCCCAGAGCACGTTACTCAGGACTGCATCCAGGCAGGCCTTGAGAATCTCCAAGAAGGGGACTCCACGACCTCCCTGGGCAGCCTGTTCCAGGGCTCTGGCACCCTCACCATAAAGAAGTTCTTCCTCATATTTGAATGGGACTTCCCATGTTCCATCTTGTGCCCATTGCCCCTCGTCCTGTCACTGGGAACCACTGAAAAGAATCCAGCTCCATCATCCTTCAACCCACCCTTTAGGTACTTGTAAACATAGATAAGGTCTCCCCTCAGCCTTCTCTTCTCCAGGCTAAAGAGCCCCATCTCTCTCAGCCTTTCCTCATAAGGGAGGTGCTCCAATCCCTTAATCATCTTCATTGCCCTACGCTGGACTCTCTCCAGTAGTTCCCTGTCTCTCTTGAACTGGGGAGCCCAGAACTGGATGCATTATTCCAGTTGTGGCCTCACCAGTGCAGAGCAGAGGGGGAGAATGACCTCCCTCAACCTACTGGCCACACTCTTACCTCTGCAGCCCAGGATCCCATTGGCCCTCTTGGTGACAAGGGCACATTCCTGGCTCATGGAAAGTTTGCTATCTACCAGGATTCCCAGAACCTTCTCCTCAGTAGTGCTTTCCAGCAGGTCCACCCCTAACCTGTATTGGTGGCTGGGGGTCTTCTTTCCCAGGTGCAGGACCCTACATTTGCCCTTGTTGAACCTCATGAGGTTCTTCTCTGCCCGGCTCTCCAGCCTGTTCGGGTCACGCCGGATGGCGGCACAGCCCTCTGGAGTGTTGGCCAGCCCTCCCAGTTTGGTATCATCAGCAAACCTGCTGAGGATACACTCTGTCCTCTCCCCACCTCCCCTGCTGTAATAATTTCCAGCCCTGCCAAGTTCCAGGATCACTGACTGTGCCACACATGTGGGGGCGGGTGGCACGGAGGGGTAGGGTGGGAGCTGGGCCCACGCAACACCCACCAGCTTTGGGGACTGATTTAATTTGCCATTGTGATGGCAGTGTCAAAACTGGAAGTCTTTTCAGAGTCTAAGGCACCAGCAGTCCCCCCCAACATGCAAGAGCTTTTATCACATAAAAAAATGTTACAGTATCGGAAGGTGAAGGAAGAAACATCAGTTGGGTTCAATTTCCTTTTGGAACTTCTCTTCCCTGCAAAATGCTGCCATAAACAATACTTTAGTGCTAACAGAATCACTCTATAATAGAAAAAATAAAGGTATTATTTTCAGTGGGGGCCTGTGATGTTGGGCTGAGTACTATTTTTTCCCAAGGGACCTTGAAATTTCATTCTACTTACCTTGGATGTTGCCTGAAGTCCCAAAGCTCTCTACCAGCTTGACACCAAAACGTGCCAAAGAGGTTCTGTACTATGAAAATTAACCATAGCAGATACTGACCCACCAGCTGGAACCTCAAAAGCCGGACTTTTCACTTGGCAGGGAGCCATTGGTTAATAACAAGAAGAAATGGGGACTTTGTGACAATGGTAGTGGACCATGCACCTAGAGTAAGCACCTGGCTGCAGTGGGACAGGTGACCCCTCACCCCAAGTGTGGTTGCCACCATTAGTGACATCTCCTCTTCCACTGACTAACCTGGTATGCTGCTTTCCTCTCTAGAGAGCTCCCAAGGCTGAGCAGAAAAATGCACAGGGGTATTCTCATGATTTAGCATCTCAGAGCAGCCTGCAGCCTCTCACTGAACTCCAGGAAAGGGCTTGAATTACCTCGGAGGGCATTAAATTACATCAGCTCCACCACTATGGCCCTGGCATGGGAAAGTGGCTTGTCTTCTTGCACCTGGCACGTCCCCAGGCCAGGCAAAGCAAATGTTCTGTAGAGGAGCAACTGGAGGAGTCCCAGCTTTGGGTTCAGGCCACCAGAGTGAGCTCTTAAATGGGAAGAGAGCCAGCTCCAGGTCTCATGTCTGTGGTGGTGGCAGGAGGTTGCCCAGGCTGCAAGCTGGAGGAGAACCTCGGCGCTGTGGGACATCTGCTGCCACGGGCTGTTGTTGCCTCCTGCAATGCCTTGTGCCATAGCACTCTCCTTCACCCTGGATGAGAAGCTGGAGCTTGGGATAAACATTAACCCAACACAGAAACAACCTCCCCAGGAATGCCTCTTTCCGGGACAGCGTGCCAGGACACGGGAGCAGATCGAGTGTCTTTGCTGTGCACTAGGGCTTTTGCATGCAGCACACAGAGGTAGGAGCAGTTCAGACCAAAGCTCCTTCCAGCCCACCCAGGGCCAAAAAAGCTGCGGAGAAGAGAAGCCTCCCAGTCCCTGCCTGTTTGCAGCTCAGGGACTTACTGAGCCCACAGTGGCTTTCTGTGTGTTTGGCCACCCTCCACCAATTTGTCCTCTCAAAACCAAATAAACACTTGGTGGCCCCAAAGTCCTGCAACAAGGTGAGCTACAGATTAACTGCACATTCTGGGGGGCGGGATTGGGAGGGGGTGGAATCAAAACCATCCTTTTCAGGGTTGGAGCTGGTATCCCAAAGTTTAGATTAATGCAGAGACAGAAGGCTTAATTTAAAAAGTCATGTTATATATCCCATACAGCAAAGCTCAGCAAAGGCTGACTCTGGGGTGGAAAGACGCCCGTTTTACCCACAGGCGCCAGCACAGGCAGAGGGAGCTACTGGGCTGTGCAACCAGGTCAAACTGTTTTCCAACCACAACAGTTGTCCATGGCAGCAGACAGCAAATTATCCTTTGCACTTCATGCAGTGGTAACCTCTGCTCAAAACACCCCCGGCACTGACTGATACTCACTGCAGGTCATGCAGAGGCTTGAGGGATCTGGGAAGGGCTAAGCTAACTTCTGGGCACAGCTGGTATCCTGTGACATGCATTCCGTGCTCTTCAGTACCTCTGAAGTTCGTGGAACAGAAGGGGAGTATATGGCCCATGCTTGGCTTCCAGGAGCAGGTCTGCACAGGCCTTGCAGGTATTGCTGCATCCACCACATTTTAGTAAAGAAAGACCACAAGTGACTGGTGGTGGCATGACCAGAGGGAATGGCCCTCAGCGAATAGACATGTGGAACAAAACCAAGAGCTGGTGAAGACTCAACAGACAAGAAACTTCTAACAACCCTGAGATGTCCTTCCTTTCTAATTTCAATTAAAAATTATTTTCAGAATTTCTCATCAGGGACAACAGCTTGGTCCTTATGCCTTCTCCAGAAAAGTTTATTTTTTAATAGGTCATTATATACCACATAGACCAATGCTTATTTATATACTGTAGACATATGTCAGGCTATGGTTTGGTCTAATGCATGTTTCAAATGCTTTTTTTTAAAAAAAACATAAGGGATGGAAGAAAAGTTTTTTAAGATGCTGCAAAACGCTCTAGGAAAAATACAACTGTAAGTACACCTCTAATTTCCACGGTCTTGATTTAAAAGAGAATGTCTTTCAAAAGTCCGTAACAGTAGCAAAAATCTGTATTTTGTGCACCCATTTACATAACAGTATGAGTAAATTAGATTAGCAACATGATGTGTAAAGAAAACCTTCTGCATTTTGAGCTTCTCTAGCTAGGTGGCATTGTTTTAAATCCAGTGCATTTCTTTTGTGGTAAGACTCCAGAAACATTTTCTTCTCATCCCACACTTTCAAGGTACAGCTGTCAGTGATATGCAGGGCATCTACCTCATTCTTGTCTATCTATCCACTCTTCACAAAACTTCATTTCCTCCTTCATTACTTCCGTACTGTGTGGCTGGCCTCCACGGGTCTCTCCCAGCTCAGACTTTTATAATTCTTTGAAACTGTCTTGTTTACCCAGTTGTGCCTGAGGCAGAGGTAAGGCAGAGCTGAGACAGACCACGTGTCTCAGGTGAATCGAGGCTGGTGCTGTTTCCACTAGAGGCTGGAGGACTGAGCTACACAGGCAGGGCATCCAGCCCAGGGATGGGCGAGCCTGGGAGGCAGGGGAGAAGGCTATCAGATCCCACTCCCAGAGGGAGGCAAGGCATCTCTGTGTGCTAGACCCACGGAGGCCAGCTCCTTGGTTCAGGGGAAATTAATGTTTTTTCTAAAGAATATGTAGCTATCTTTTGTGACCTAGTCCTAATGGTCTGCAGGTTCACCCCCAGAGTGCAATATTCCATGGGTCAAACACCTTCAGTATTGGAAACTCCTACAGAAATTATGAAAGGGAGTCTGAGACAGGGATATCAATACAGAAACCCAGCACAGGAGGAGCATAACTGTGCGTTAAAGAGAGATGGCCACACACTCATCCTGGCCAAGGGTGAGGTGATCAGAAGACTCAGGTGTTCCCAGCAGTCAAAGCCTCCATAACATTATGCCCTGCCTCCAGCCATGCTGCTCTCAGCTTCACACTGAGGTGAGAGCTCCTCTTTGGAGCAAACTCACCTCTGAAAGGCATAGTGCTGCCAGAGTCAGGCCAACCCACAGATGGCTGTGCTCAAAGCTAAACAGAGGTAGCTCCCAGCATTTTCCAGCCAGGCAGGGAGACACACCTTGTGCTCCCATGGACTTCCACAGGAACCAAAATAAACTGCAGAGGCACCTCCGCTCTCCTACAACCCATTTCACTTGTCCCAGCCTGAGTTCCAGGGGAAGTCCAATCCCAGGACTTCCTCAAGCCCAACACTCAGTAACTGCAATGTTAAACACATGATCTCCTGGCAGGCTAGCCACTGCAGACACCATGCCTTCTAAGAGCAGGTTTCCTTTCTGACCAGTTCAGAACCTTTAGGTACCAACACAGGAGTGCTCTCGGTTCATTATTTCTGGTGGTTTTACTTACACATAAAGATCTCTTTCAAGCCTCCACCAGAAAAGGTAGAAGAACCCTGCCTGGTTGGGTCTTTTGCAGTATGTCAACCATAACCAAGATTTCCTATGGACCTTAAGTTGCAATCCTGAACTGCACAAGGCAAGGTGGGCTGAATGGGGAGAAGTACAGAAGAGGATTAAACTCCTTTGATACCTTCCAATCCATTACAAAGTATGGCTTGGTCCCCAAATTGTCCTATAATTACAGCCTTTACTTCCTGGGGCAGATGGAATTTCTGCTGTGACCACCTTTCCCCTCCCCCCAGCTTCATCTCTTACAGACAGTTGCTACCAAAGGCCTTCTGCCAGGTGGAAGCAAAGTGATGAGGAATTCTGTTTTTATTAAATCTCTTCTTCCTCTTCACTAACAACCTCCTTCAGGTCCTGAGCCCCCTGCTCTGCTCTCTCTTTTACATAGGCTGCCTTGATCTGTTCCAGCTCACATAGCTCTGCCTCCAGCTCTTCTCTGTGCATTGACCGCCGGTTCCTCAGCAGTTTCATGGGGAAGGGGTTTAAGTCATTGAAGGCAATGTTCATCAGCTTCCTACAATGGAAAAGACAGGTCTGGTGAACTGATCTGCTGGCTGGTAACAGATACACCAAGGGCATCCTGGGGTAGGCAAAGAGTAGGGCCTCAGATTTCAGCTCTCTGAGCTCAAAAGTCACCAAGCAGCAGCGTCTTAAAGGAATCACAGGCAATTCCTTCCCACATAAACACCAACCCAAGCAATGCTTTAAATAGCTTTAGACCACACCACCTTTTAAGGTACCAGTGTGCAGCCACCAGTCTGGAGACAGCGGATCAGATGCCAATTCTGATAGCCCCTGGGGGAGGAATATTCCCAACATTGAGCTGTTCTGGTCACAGAAATCTTCCACTCAGACACATGTTGCCATTAAAGGTTGAGAGTGGTGCTGTCTTCCCAAATACCCCAACTACAAATGACAGAAACGCAGCAAGTGGCAGCACAAGTTCCAGTCGCTGCAAAAAAAAGAAAATGGCCCAGACTTTGTGGCCTGCTCTGCTGTAGTCTACATTTGCCCAAGCCAGAAAGAATTTAAGTAGCACAATGAAGGGAAAGTCAAAAAAAGATAAAGTGATCTGTGTCCCATGGACCTGCCAATGCACATGAACCTCTCTTAACAGACTGGTCGCAACTCTTTTTAGGCTGACCTAACAGGCAAGCAAGTACAAACCCAGGATGGAAGGCTGTCTACAACCCACAGTCCTACCTGCCATCCATGATCATTCTCGTGAAAAAGCGCAGGTACTGGTAGATCTCCACACTGTCATGAATTCTTAGGATTTCCTCCTCGTTGTATTTGAAAATCGCAAGAGCATAGCGGAAAATCACCTGGAGGGTGGAAAGGTATTTGAGTTGACAAAGTCTTAGGCAGTTGAGGCACCAGGCCCTCCTGGCGTAAAACATGAGGTGGGGCACAAAGCACTGCAGTACAGGCTGGGCACTGGGCTTCTGCTCTCAACAGGCTGCATTAGGGCAGGCCTGGAGAAGCACAGAGCTAATCCCAAGAGGATGACCCCCTGTAAGCTCATTTACAACCCCAGAGCATGCCAGGTCCTCCAAAAGCATCCTCCAAATGGTTCTCCCTATCCACAAGGGCAATGCAAGACTCATGTTTTCAGATACTAACTCTCTGCCCATCCTCTGCTTCCTGTATCTGTCATACTCACAGCTGTGTTGGGATCACAGTGCAGAAGACACCATGGTCTATCAGAAAGTTATTTCATAGCAGGACTACCTGTTAAAAAGTGCCAGGGATATTGTGCCCAATATCAGGGACTAGATCTGCCTACTGGCAGCAAGTATACAAATAAGAGAGGCTGGGAGGTGTTAAGCCTCACCCCACCAAAAAGGCAGGACAGGGCATGAGGCTCTTTGACACATGTGTATGTCCATTGCCCTGCCACGATGTCTGAGAGGTGATGCAGACAGGAGGAAGCCTAGACTAAGAGTTGCACCTTAGTTCCCTCGTACAAGAAGGCATCCCACACTCGCAGGAGGATGTCGCTGACCAGGCTGTCCACAAAAACCACCAGAAACCAATTGAAGGTGATGAGTGAGACATCAATCCGATGCTGCTCAAAATGAGCCATGAGGCGAGGCAGCTTCTCTGACAGGAAGTCTTTGAAGACTCTTTGATCTACCTAAAGTTGACAAAAAAGAAAACAATGAAGTCTGAGTCAAGAGTAGTCCTTGTGTAGGAGGAGAGGAGTAGTGCAACAGGACAGTGGTCCATGCATGCCACAGTAATCACTGGTGCTGATGCACTTTATGTACTTTAAGAATGTAGAATATACTTTTAAAAGAGTAAAATATATTTTAAAAGGTAGAATCTCTCACTAGGTAAGAATAAGGTGCTGTAAAATGGTCACAATGCCCACTCAGTAGAAACAATAAATGCCTTGCTAATGAATATAACCTTGGAGAAGAACAGAAGGCTGATAATAAGGAACATCTCAGAACAGGAGGCGCCAAAAACAGCTGAAAACCAGATAGCGGCTGGATAAGACATGAAGTCAACAAAGGTTTTCAGAACTGGGGGAAAGGTAAAGGTGGCAGTGCCAGATTGCAACAATGAACTCAACTGGGGACCCAACTGGACTATCCCCTCTATGTCCCCCCCAGTACTGGAGCATGGTCCAATCAAAGGCCTTGCAACTTTAAATGAGAGACTATACTAACTGATAGAAATTGTTAAGATAAGGCCTAACCAATAATTATATTTAAGGATGTGTGTTTCTGTGTTTTCAACTATATATATATTCCTAGGAGATTTTAGGCTGGTGTGCTACCTTTGTGGATCACCACCTAGCACCCATCTCTGCAGAAATTAAATAAATAGATAGTACCTCTACTGTGTGTGTATATTGGCATCCACACACTGGGTAAACGACCCTGCTTTGGGACAACAGTGCTGCCTTCTAGCCTAACCATACCCTAGGAAGAGCAGAGAAACCTTTGTCTCCCAACACTTCAAAATTACTGAGCAGTGTACTTGTGTGCTGTACTCGGTGTGAGGTGTAGAACTGAAACAAGGCCAACAAGCAAGCAGAGATAAATACATTTTTCTCACTCAGAAGATCGTATTCCTTCCTAACCTCAAAGTCAAGAAGGAAAAGGCTGCATCGGTCTTACTGGGATTTTCTATGATGCCATGAGCATCTGATTGAATGACAGGGATTAAAATTTACCCTGGTCTGAATGTCTGCATAGGGCCCAACAGAATAACTACCTAGAATTCCTCTGACTTCACAAGCAGGATCTGACCTTCTTCCTTAGCTTCTCTTTGTGCTCTGAGTACTGTCTGTGCTCTGCTTCAGGTTGCATGAGCTGAGACATAAAAATGTAGTTGGTGAGATCCTTGACTCAGGTTTATCAAGGCTTCACCTTAGGGGAGCCATGATTTTATGAGGGGAAGTGCTAGGAGCAAGATGACAATTAGGTCCTCCCCCATGCCATATCATACTACTGTCCTGGCTGTGTCAGCCCACTTAGCTAGAGCACAGTGGTACAAACCAGACAAGTTGAAATGCGTGGTCTTTAAAATCTGCAACAGCTAAACCTTAAGCTTTCCGGCCATAGCAGAGCTTTCACTTTATCAAGTCAACCCACAAAGCATCACCCTAGACCTTCCTCTTCACGTGGGTCTTGGCTAGACTTTCAGACACCAACTATGAGACCAGTAAGTCTTTCTGAAAAAGGCTCCCTCAGCTGAGAGAGCTCAGTCTTTTCTCACCAAACACAGAGAAGCCTCTGTGTCTTCAGTCTGCCATGCTTTTCCCTGTCAATCGCTATTTGTCAAGCATTGAGCGCTGCCTATTACATCTCACAGCTAACACTACCTGCTCTGGACAGACATTATGCTATCTGCACAGTGATTTGGCAGCTTCCCCAGTCTGTGGGTTGGCCTCTCCACCAGCACACCACTGCCCCAGTCAACATTAGTCAACCAACTCAGTGGCACAATCAGTCACGCTCAGCTACAGATGCTTGTAGCCTCATCTATTGTGGGCCCACAAATAAAACCCTCTTTTCTCTGAAAGGACCACACACAATAAAGACACCAAGGTCACGGCCAGGCTCACCAGACTGGGCACTGCTGGTTGAGGGTGGTGTGGGCACACAATACAATTCCATTAACTACATGGAATTATCTTGGCTCTGTATCTGCTTGGGAGGAGGTAGTAATCTGATACAAGTCAACACATCTTGAAAACCTTGAAATCCAGCAAACCACAAGAGTAAGCAACTCATAGACCAACATTTTACATCAAATGGCCAGAGGGCTTTCTGATCTACAGGGAAGCCCAAAGCCAGAACTAACACTGTATTTGATAATGAACTGAGGAAAGTACAGTGAATATAAAAATCTTAGTATTTTCTTCCATCTGTACATGGCACTCCAAAGATCAGGTGCAGATTCCAAAGAAAGATCTGAAGGGCTACACAATAGTGCCTTCTTCATACCTAGTCCTACACCTGTTGGAGTTTGCTGCTTCACCTCTATTAGGCCCTCTTAAATAACTGCAATTAATGGGCACCTTCCTTCTGACTAACCTGACCTTCGAGGGATTACTCAGGAGTGGTGCCCAGTTTCCTAGTGATGAGGATCAATACTGCTGCTCCTGTGTGCGTAACAATTTTGTATTCTCAAATCTGCAACACCTCTGCAACGGAAGGGATTCCAAGGTGGGATCGCTGTTCTATGAGAAATCAAACACACTGCAAGCTGACTGCTCACTTTTAAACCTTCACTGTAAACCACTGTATCGGAGTCCAAGCAGATGTGAGGGTGCCCAGCTCACCTGTGATGTTATCAGTGTGTCACTGTAGTAGTCTGCTGGCATTAGGTTCTCCACAATATGGACTAGGCACCAGAAAGCACTTTCCTCGTCTTCCAGGACCAGGAGGGCAACAGCTGCCAATCTGTGATGGACAAGACATGCTGAGGCAATGCAATACTGCAGGAGGAGACTTGGCATGCCTCTTTGAGCATCCAAAAGATCAAATGTGGCAGGACAGCTGGTCAGAGAGGCAAGCGATCTGTTCTGCAGGTTTCTGAAGGAACCATGGGGCTTGTGATTTTCTTTCCCGTGTGCCTCTGTCAGCAAACAGGAAGCATCAAATTCACAACTGGTGTGGCAAAGCCAGACTCCCCAGCTAAGGGGATGTTCTGTAGATCTGCTGAAGTTAAGCAGTGTGCTGATTTTGGCTATTTCAATGTAGGAAAGAGCTCACTCAGAGATACTTCGTATTATGTGACATAGCTCACTTTACCATACATTATTCTACAGCCCACAGAATCAGAGAATGCTATGGGGTTGGAAGGGACCTCTGGAGATCATCTAGTCCAACCCCCCTGCCAAAGCAGGTCCTCCTAGAGCAGGCTGCACAGGAACGCATCCAGGCAGGTTTTGAATGTCTCCAGAGAAGGAGACTTCACCACCTTCCTGGGCAGCCTGTTCCTCGTCATGTTTAGGCAGAACTTCTTAGATTCAAGTTTGTGCCCATTTCCTCTTGTCCTCTCACTGGGCACCACTGAAAAAAGACCAGCCCCATCCTCTCAACACCCTCCCTTGAAGTATTTATAAGCATTGATCAGTTTCCCCCTCAGTCTTCTCTTCTCCAGACTAAAAAGACCCAAGTCCCTCAGCCTCTCCTTGTAAGAGAGATGCTCCATGTCCCTAATTATCTTTGTAGCCCTCTGCTGTATCCTCTCCAGCAGTTGCCTGTCCTTCTTCAACTGGGGAGCCCAGAACTGGGGACGCTCCTCCAGATGGGGAGCTCACCAGGGCAGAGTAGAGGGGCAGGATAACCTCTGGTCACACTCTTTCTGATGCACCCCAGCCATACCACTGGCCTTCCTGGCCACAGGGGCACATTGCTGGCTCATGGGCATCCTGTTGTCCACCAGGACTCCCAGGTCTTTCTCCTCAGAGCTGCTCTCCAGCAGGTCAGCCCCCAACCTGCACTGGTGCAGGGGGTTATTTCTCCCCAGGTGCAGCACCCTACACTTTCTTTTGGTGAAGTTCATCAGGTTCCTCTCTGCCCACCTCTCCAGCCTGTCCAGGTCTCGCTGTATGGTGGCACAGCCCTCTGGGGTGTCAGCCACCCCTCCCAGTTTTGTATCGTCAGCAAACTTGCTGAGGGTACACTCCATCCCTTCATCCAGGTCATTGATGAATATATTGAAGAGGACTGGACCCAGTACTGACCCCTGGGGAACACTATTTGTTATGAACCTCCAGCTGGATTCTGTGCCCCTAATCACAACCCTCTGAGCTCTGTCGTTCAGCCAGTTTTCAATCCACCTCACTGTCCATTCTTCTAATCCATACTTCCTAAGCCTACCTATGAGGATGCTGTGGGAGACTGTGTCAAAGGCCTTGCTCAAGTCAAGGCAGACAACATCCACCACCCTCCCCTCATCTCTCCAACCAGTGATGCCATCACAGAAGGCTATCAGGTTACTTCAGCTCTGACCTACTCCCTCTCAGCCAACTGGAAAGATGGTATCAAGGGCCCTCCAGAGTGGAAAACATCTTTCTGAAGACCACTCAAAGAACAACAGGAATAGCTTACATAGATTTCCCTCGTGAAAAAGTCCAACTAGAAATTCCCTTCTTGCAGCTAGTGCCCAGTGCCTCTTTTATTTGGTAGCATACTTCTAAGAAGTCTGGTTTTATCTTTCCTATAGACTTCTTCAGGAAATGAAAGAAGCTTTTACATTCCCTGAACCTATTCTTTTCCAGATAGAACAACCTGTTTCCTCAGCCTCTCCTCATGTCATTTGCTGCAACTCCCCCATCTCTAACATTTCCCAACATTTCCTACAACTCTTCTCAGCAAAAAAGGGAATCACAAAGGTGTTCTTCTGCTGAGCACATTAAGACTTGGAAATTCAGCCTCATGCTGTTATTCTGGGACTGCTTCACTCCAACTCCCATAGCTGTTTCTTCCTATTCTGTAACTATGGAGATGTCAAATAGTGCATCCTGCTGCGTGCTTGATCCCAGCAACAACACTGGGTGAAAAAAAAAGACACCAAATGCAGAGTTCTGGAGGAAACTACTTAGAGCCAGGACAGAACTCTAGAGAGGCAGGACCACGGGGTTGCTTGAATCACAGCCTGGAGTACGTGTCTAGAGGTCCCCAGTGCTATCCCATAAAGAATCAGTATACCTGGCTCCTCACCTGTTCAGTCCCTGGCAGTATCCAATGGCAGGATTATGCCAGGAGAATGCCAGCAACACCCTCCGGAGCTTGGGGATGAGCTGGGAGGTAGGAGAGGAAAAATGTTTGTTGTTGGTCATTGTGCGGGGCAGGTCGAGCTCAATCTGCCGGCAGGCAGGGTGCTCGGTGCTCCTGCTCTGCCGTAACAGCTGCTGGTAGTGGTCAGGCCGATGGCTGCAGTGTCGGCTGACAATCCACCTCCAGACCCGCTGCCGATGCTCCACTGGAATGCCGCTTCGGATCAAGCTCTTCAGCTCCGCCGAGGGGCTCAGCTCTCCAACGCTGTTCCACCTGTCACGGAGGGGCTTCTCCACTACTTCCTGGCTCCGCAGGTTGTTGGACTTTATCTCCAGGGCTTGGATTTTGGCCAAAAGTTTCCAGTCCTCAACTTCATACTCAGGTACAGTCATAAACCCATATTCATCATACTCACTGGAGGGACACAAAGCAGAGGTTAGTTTAAAGGACAGTGCTGGTACGTGTGTCAAGGTCTGCTCACTGCTTGGGGTCATCCCAGCTACAGCCTGCTGCCAGGTTCCTGTCACCCATGCGGGAGCACAGGTACTCCTTCATTTATTTCTCTGGCATGTGAGGGCCTGCCATGCCACTGTGTCAGACCCTTGAAGACAAATGAGAGCCTGCAGAATGGCATACACACACGAACTCAAGTGTAACTTTGCTCTGAGCTACAGCCCAACCTCATCAGACCTCCCTCAACAGCTCTGCTCCCCTGCCCCTAAAGGAGTATCTAGCTCAACCCATGTGCCTTCTCCCTACCATGTCCTAGTGCAGAGAAAGTTCTGCAGGAAGGGGCTGAAACAAAGGCTTTGGGTCTTCAAACCAATGAACAGAGATCCACAGTCTCTTCTGATGTCTCTCTGTACAGACTGCAAGTCTCCTACTGACTGGAAAACACCAGGAGTGCTGATAGTACAGCTCATTGAGGGTTTGTGCATCATCAGTCCATAAACTGATATACTTGTAAGATATCATCATATTCTTGACAGACAGACCAAGCCTGGCCTTGGGGTCTCATCTCCAAAGCTACTTGGAGAACCTCTAAGTCTGACCAACCAGATGAAATGGAAGCTCCTACAGAACTGGGGCACTAACTGGGCAGGAAAGCACAAACACAAAAGGTCCCCAGCAGTGCTGGTGGCAATGCTCTCTGGAGGTCTCCACTCCAGCCCTTCTTCACTGCAGGATTGTCCCCAGCACTACAATTGTGACTGTGTATGGCTGGGACTAGAAAACCCCTAAGGATGGAGATCCCCCATCTCCCAGCTGGCCTCCTCTCCTACAGAAGGAGTTTATATTCGTGTCCAGTGTTTGTCTCCCAGGCACACCATGGCTGTTGTTGCTTGCCATACTGTCTGCCTCTGCCAAGAACAATTTAGCTGTACCATCTTTAACTTCCCCTTCCTACAGTGATACGCTACAATCAGATACTCATGGTGTCCACACCACCAAATTAAAGCAGCCTCCTCAACCTCCACTCCTACCTCATGGCTCCAAGTCCCTGCTATAGAAATGTCCCTGGATCGCTTTTGCCTGTGCATTCGCCTCCACACACCTACAAGGGTATGAATGTACCCATGCTCTTGCCTCTTACCTTACAGGGTTCAAGTTAAAACCTTCTTCTGCTCCTTCTTTCACATCCCACTGGAGCGCTTCTTGGATGAGGTTCCTCACCAACTCAGAATGGGAGCTGGGAAGGTCGGGCATAGCCTCCTGCAGCTTCCGCAAGACCATCAGGTATTTGCTCTCCATCTGGCAGTTTCGGGCTTGCAGGCATGCACACTGATGGGGAAACATGACAGAATGAGTTGGCTCATTGGTGGTTCTTTCTGTGTTGCCACTGCTCTCTACTGGCCTGGTCCATACATAAAATGAAGAGTCCTGAACAGCAGGGCCCCAGAAAACACATCTGGCAGTTTTCCACAGTCAGTGGGATTGCAGCAAGGAATGAACCACCGTGGTCTATGAACCAGCACAAGCTGTAGTAGCTAGCATGTGAGAGAAGTTGCTTATTGAGTGGGAGACCTACTACCGCTCTACCTGCTTTAGCTACTGCATTGCACCAGTGAGTGGCCCTGTACTAGCCCGCTCAACTCAGGACACAACCAAAAACCACTGCAGTTGAGTTCTCTGCAGGCTTTCTCCCTTCCCCTCAGACAACTTCTCTACCCGATATTGAGCTGTCTCCTGACAAAACACACCACTCCTGGGACTGAGCTATGACCATACCATTCTCAGGATACACAGTAGGACCACAGACAAGGTGACCACACACCCCTCAGGAATCCCCGTCCCATGGCACTGGTATAAAATATTTCTCAAACACAGGAAGCCCAGCTGAGTTCAAACAGCAGGACGCTCCCTGCTACCACCATACTTCTGGGCACACAAAACAGAAAAAAGGAAGGAGGACTGTTATCCCTACTCCAGAAGTGGGGAACCAAGGCCACACAGGTGACAAGACTCACCCAATGTCTCGCAAGAAGCTCTATGAAGACTCCTGCTCAGTAGGAAGCAGCAGTTGAAAACAAGAACAAAGCAGAAACCAAAGAGAGGATTAGACTACATATAGAGGGGTCAGAAAGGAGCGTGGGATACTGTTGTAATACCACTTTAATCAGCATTTTGCCTCACATTGGGCATGTTAGTCTGATTACATCCTTTCTGGAGGTTACAGCAGTGTCAGGAATAGAGAAGAATAGTAAGTTAGGAGGGTTTCAAAGGACTAGAAAACAAACAGGTGTAAGAATAGCAATAACACTTCAGAAGCAGCTTTTTGCCTTGCTTCAGAATCCAAGACAGCGGAGACATACCCTAAAACCCAGGGAAAACCCAGAGAATAAATGCCAGCATGCACTATCAGCCTGGGTAAGTGGCTCAGGACCAGAAGGCTGGATTAGACAATGTTAGATAACTACGTTATGCACAGTTACCAGGCTAGAAATAAAAACAGAGCTTCAGAAATCATGCAAACTCTGTTGTAGGTGCAGGACCTGAGAGTGCTGCCACCTGGCAGTGCTAAACCTGGTAGAGAAATCAGGACTAGATGGAGCCAGGGCTCAGTCAGTCTGCCAGCTCTCAGGAAAATATGGGTTAAGTTTCAGCATCCTTAAGACTGAGCTTTTCAGGCATTTGACTTTAGTGAAGAATGAAAATAATAATGTCTAATTGAGAAACAAAGCAGAAAAGAAAAAAAGCCACTCTAAAGAAACACGTTAGGAAGAAAACTCATTCCTGGTGTGAATTTTGGACCAAAATCCACTCCAGTGATGACTTTGGAAAGAAATCAGTAACAGCTGTTGCCAAGGGGAAAAAAGTCATTTTGCCTTACCTTCATCAGAAGGGCCTTTTCATTCTCAGCAACACTCGTCCAGAGTCGAGTAACCTGGTGGATCTCCGAGTTCAGAAACTGGTTCTGGGTTTTGTATGCATCAATATCATCCTGCCATGAAGCAAAACAGTCACATAAGGAGAGTTTTTGAAGGGCCTGGAATGCCCTTCCAGTTCAGTTTTTAAATCCCAAGAGGAACCTCAGGTATGGATTGTGTTAAGGACAAGAAAATATCCCAACAATTTCACGTTCTGGGGAGAAGACAGGACTCCCCAGGACAAATAATGCCTACAAAGGAAATCATGGCACAACATTAAATTGAAGTGCCATGCATAGACAAGACACTTGAAAATGCTAAGTGCACTGCATGCACATGCTTAAAAAACACAGAGACATCCCAGTGATATAAAGATAGAGAAGCACTTAAATAAGACAAAGAATGTACATGATTTGTTCTGTTTTTTTAAAAAAAATTGATGCAAATCTCAGCCCCATGGCTGGCAGCAAAAGCAAACACTGTCCTACAATGCAGTAAGTGGCTCTGTGGGCACTTCTCCACCCCACGCTACATGGTCAATAGAACTGTGCCTACAGTAACATACAACAGGCTGTATTTGAAGGAACCAGGATGTAGTGTGAAACTGTTTGCAAAAAGGAAACACAGAAGAACAGAGCTAGTGAAGTCAGCAAGTAAGACAGCAGCAGTGAAACAAAAGAGAGAAAAACAGAAGAGAGAAGCAGGCATCAAATGGTGACATGAAGTAAAATAAAACAGGTTCTGAGCTGAAGGCGAAACTGATCCAGATGTTTTTGAGCACCCTATTGGCACCACCAGAGCCCCGTTCAGCCTGCTTTTTGTTTGGCAGCAGAACAACTAGCAAAAGTATATTCTGTGCTTCCTACAAGGGACACCCTCCCACTGAACCAGAAGGCACAGAAATGGGAGCCCACAAATGACCTGCGGTGTCTCACACACCTTCAGGTGCTCAATCTCCTCCTGCTGTTTATACAATGTCTCTGCAGTGACAGTGTTGGCTTCTTGCAGGGGGTCAGAGAGCTCTCGGGCCATCTGCTCTGTCAAGGCCATGATGACTTCCTGTTTGGCGTGGTTTTTCTCCATCAGAAGTTGAACATGCTCCTTGAGTTCCTGGATGTGGCTGTCCCTCAGAGTCAGCATCTGCTCCAGTTCCTTCTTTTCTTTCTCAAGAGCTTCTAGTCGACTGGTGAGATCTGCGATTTGTCTCACTTTGTGGCGCACCAGCTCCAGCCTGTCCTTATCTTCTGCTGCAGTGAGATACATGCTAGATACTCGCTTCTCCTGCTGGGCTGCCTCCAGAGCTTTGTGGAGAAGTTTAACCAGCTCCTGGAAAGGAAATGCAAAGCCATTACATCATAGCGCTCACCAGGGCAATGGCAGCATGGACAGCACAGAGCCAACCAGTAAGGAATGAACAGTGAAAGGTCCTCAGGATCTTGAAACTCTCTCCTTTCAGAAGCAAAGCTGAAGGCAGAAATCTTGAAATCACAGTGCTTCCCCAGGGGAGAAGCTCTGCTCTCAAAGCTGGGCCTGAAAGGTCTCTGCAGCAGGCAACAGATGACTTTAGGTGGGCTGCTAACAAACAAGCTGCTGCTCACACTGTCTGAATTCTGACTTCCTAGAGTCATCCTTCTTGGGAGGCCCAGCAGAGACCAGAGAAGCAGGAAGGAGGGAAATATGAAATAAATGCAGTCTGCATCTACCTGTGCTACCAGAAGGAAACTGCTGTATCCATTTTAATCTTCCCTCTGACAAAGCCCTCCCTCATGCCATCCCACATGAAGGCACAAAAGCTTGCCCCAGCAATATACTGCTTATCCAGGCTCTGCTATCTCAGCCATTCAAGGAAGCAAATCAACAATGTATCTGATTGCCCACCATGGGACCTGGCTCTCCTGCCTCTTCTGCTGGAAGAGCTACTAGCATCATTAGTGGAGAGTCTGGCATTGCTCCATACTTGTGAAGAAGAACAGTACCATTCAGGAGAGATAGCCCTTGCTTCTACAGACCCATGACTTCTACAGTCAGATCAGCTCTGCCACAGGAATCAAATCAGCCAGTATCACAGGACTGTACTTCCTACATTCACTGAGCAACAGAGATGCACCAGCAAAACACTGGCAGACCAGACTCAGATTTGTTTTACCTCCCTTTTCCATCCCCTCTCCAAGCTGCACTTCCTAGCACAATGGCTGAAGGGCGGACCATTCTCCCTTGTGCTGGGCACAGTCAGGCACATACAAAGGGGTAACTCCAGGAGCTTCAACCAGTCGCCAGCGAGTGCTTGCTGAGCACTTCTCAGCCTAATACCAAGGTGTAAGGGAGTCCCTGTGACCAGTTTCAGGGCCCTGCCCTCACAAGCAGCAGACTCTTTGACACACTCACCTTCTGTGACTTGACTTCCTCTGTGAGTGTCAGCATCTGTTGCTGTAGGACACTCACTTTATCCATTGGGTTCCTCTCCCTGGACAGTTCTTCAGGCAAGCCTGGGAAGCCACTGTTCATCCACCTGGCTTTCCTAACCCAGTTCAGCCTGGGCTCCATCCTTCCATCCTCTGGGATCCCCTCCTTAACTGAAGGGAAATAGGGTCAGTTTAGAAGGAATTGGGTTGCTACTATAGATTCCTGAGTCTTGCTAAAGGGGGACTCACAACAGCTCAGCAGACAAGACTGACACACAGGACAAGGAAAACTGACTTGCTAGGATCCACAGGGTTGAAGCACAGAGAGTAGGGATCAGCCACAAGTACCCCCAGAATAAACAAAGCTGTGATGGTTTATAATACCTGTTAACCCACCTTGCACCCTATCCATCTGTCTTGCACACAGCAAATACAAGTCACCATTGTGGAGAGGTAACTTCACAAGCATGCAGTGGAGCTGCTGAGCTTAGCCTGTGACCATGCAACAATTTAACTTCTACCTCAGAGAAATACCACTTTGGGCTGGCACCATGGATGGTATTTTTGCCTCTGCAGAAGGCTCCAGAAGTAGGAGACAGACAGATGCAGCTTGCAGCAGAGCCAAAAGAGTCAGTCTTGTGCCAATAGCACAGGAAAGGACCTGAGATAATGTGGGAAAGCTTTCATGTCCCATTATGACTTGCCACGCTCACCCTCACTTTCCTGCTGAGTCTGACTCCATGCTAGAAGACATCATACTCAAGCCAGCCCACACAACTCAGTAACAAGCACCTGCACACCCTGCCTCCACTTTTGCCTCCTGCTCTTCATGCGGGTTCTCAGGATGCTCCTGGAATTCACTGAAGCTAAAGATGTTCCCATTGTTCCCCAAGAGCTGCTTGGAGCCACAGATATTGTAGACAGTGTTTCTGAAACAAGAAGAGATTAAGACACCCTAGTGAACAGGAGAATAAATGATCGCTGCAATCAGTGCATTTTTAAACTATTCAATGCCTTACATCTCCTCATATCCCACCCCTACTCCCAAAACCTATAATCGCCTTCATGCGCCAAGAAAATTAACTGCCCATGGAACAGATGGATCTGAGGAAATCAGGAAGGTGCCACAAAATCAGTAGCACAACAGCAGTGTAAATCATCTGGGTATCTTTCCCCATGTGCTTGAGCCCTGTACATAAATGCATCAGGCTTGACAGAGGAATCAAAGGTAAAAGTAGACCAACCACATCCCTCCTTTCTTCCTTTCCCTTCTCTCTCCCCCTTCTTCTCCTCCTTCCTTCTCCCCCCTCTCTCTCCCCTCCCCTTCCCTCTTTCTCTCCCTCCCTTCCTATCCTTAGCTCACTGTGGAAATCCCCAGGTGCCAAGAAAAGCTCAGCTATCTATAGCACAGCCAAAACTGCCACAATGATCACATTTGAAGCAGCCATAGATCCTGTGCTCTGAACCGCATTTAATAACGTTGCCATAACAAACTCTGTGATGCAGTAAAGAGATTCAGGAACAAAGTTGCAATCAGACTAAGAATCAGTTTGTTACAGCTGCTGCTATCAGATATTCCTACAAACAAGAAGAGATGACTTTATAGCATCAGGTAGAATCATAAATGCACATTTTCTGTAAAACCTATACAGGAAAGAGAGAGAATTGCCTACCTCTATACAGGTCTTTTACCTTCTCCTCCTATGTTGTCCATCAGCTAGAACAAAACAAGCCCCTTGGTTTTGAGATCTACTGAAGACTCAGTGTCAGCTACTTCTTAACTGTAAATGAAGTTGGCATTTAGATATTGTTCTCCTTTTGCCTTGGTACTGTATGGCTCCACAGCATAAGACCAGACATTTCTGATCTCAGGGGACATACTGGCACATCAGATCAGCAGACCTTCATTCCCTGTAGTCTGCAGTCAGCACTGACCCAATGCAACTTTCCTACTTTTCTCTACCTCATGCTGCACCTTGTTTTTCCTCTGAGACAGCAGCAGCTCAGAGATCTGATAAACTTAGCCGAAATCAGACATGCTACTCTCATAAGACCCAGCCTGATAGTGACAGAGGCTGAAGAAATGTTCATAGAACCAGGGAAGCAATGCAATTTGCCTGAAAAGAGGCAATTGTTATTCAAACTAGCAAAAGCAAGGCCGGGGACAGGGAGAGGAGATACGATCACATCATTTTTAATCAAAGTGAGAAGGAGAGAATGCATAGCCTGCAAAATAACACACCTGACTCTGATCCTCTTTGGTCCCACAGGGGCCCTTTCTTCCTATTGGCATTAGACTGTAGCCATAGTAGTGGTGATAAAAAACTATAGCCAACCTCCCCACCAAAAACATTTGGCAGGTGCCAGGCTACCTACCATACCTGTGGCTGCTTACACATTTTTAATTATATGTAAATAAGTGGTTAGGACACACTTAAGGAGATACTGACGGGGGTTGTGTTTGTGTAACTGCCGAAGGGCTGTAACCTGGCATTCTTGTAGGCTGTGGGAATATTCACATACTTGAAACTCAGCAATGAGTAGCAACTGCGCGCTGTCAGGCCATATGACAGGTTCAAGTGCCTTTTGCTTGGAGTTCCTGCTTTAGAGAGTGCACTACATTCAAGGTCCTTTGAAACCACTGGAAATCTACCACTAGCCTACAGAGCACAGCTCAACCTGCTCGTATGCCCTTCCAAGAGTGACTTTCCACTACCTACAATGAAGAAAGCTTAACTCAGCCCTAGGTCTGCCACTAGGATCTTTGCAAAGAGAGCTAGATGATGTGAAATGCATTGGAACAAGGGGATGTGAAAGACCCTCTGGCCAGAAGTTTTTGTCATGGAATATCCTTCAAAAAGCTGCTTCATGGTTCTTCTACCTAGGTGAGAGTCCTATCACAACAAGTGACAGACAAGGAGAGCACAAAGTTGCAGGCCAGCACGTCAACTGCACTGCAGCTCTCCTCTTGCACTTACTGTATCTCTGTCCAAGGGTGCTTAAGGGAGATGTTTTGCAAAGCAGTGCATGTTTGGGGTGCCGGCAAAGATGCTGCCTTTAAACCCACTACTTCTGTTGGTGTTTTCACCGGAGGCAGAAAGTCTTCATTGTCAACACCACCTATGTAAACACAAACCAGGACACAGAAGCAAGTGAGCAAGACAGAACTCCATTGGACTTTGGCTCCTTCCGGTAACTTGGGAAGCCACAACATTTTATTACAGGTGTACATTCCACATGCAACTGGCCATGTGGAACAAAACAGCAGAGCAGGTTTCCTTTGCTCTCAGACAAATGACAGAAGGTTCCATGTACAAATAGAGTCATCTATTCAAGGACAATCAAGTGACTTCAGCCATTTGTATATGAGAATGACTAACCCTAAACAATCAAACTTTAACCATCTAAAGGAATAAGGAAGGGAGCTGTTGCTTTTTCTTTTCCCCCATCCCAAACACTGTTTGATAGTTTTACTGTGCAGACAACACTCCACAAACATGTTACCAAATTACTGCCTGCTATAGCAAAATGCCAAGGTACCTGGAACCTTTTAGAGAAGTCACTTACTAGGGAGGAGGTTACTTGTTTCAAACAAAATGTGCATCTAATCATAATGAAACAGGTGGACACCCTGCTTGTGTCCTCTGCTGATCCACCAGCCTGTGTACTCCCACTGATAGGAACACATATCTTCATCCCACCACTGCTGAAAAAAACCTTGTTTGCTGTAAATTTCATAGACCTCGCAAGAGGATGGGTATATATCAAACCTGCACACATCACATGCATGAGTAAAATCAAGAGAAAATTCATGATCATAAGATATCTGAATATTTCCAACCATGTGCTGTGGATTAGGACACTGGCCATTCACTGTCATCCATAATACAGCCAGAAGTTCCAAATATCGAGCAAGCATTGATAGTTGGCACCTGCATTTAAAAACCTGGCAAAAACCTCTGCCCACTTACAGATGAAGAACACTATTCATTACTGGGAAACTGAAAGAAAAAAAAAAAAAATAAAGGGCTGACATAACGCAACACCTACTTGTTCTGCCAGCCAGAGGCTCATTCACAAGCTGGGAGCTGCCCACAGGAAATCTGCTCTGAGCATTGCAAAATTCCCAACGTCTCATTTGTAGCTGCTGCAGCCAGTACATCGTTGCCTGCTTGCTGATTGCCTAACATAATACAAAACAGGAAAGGGAGGGGAATAATCTCATCAGCATGAGACATATCCTGAAGGGCTGACCACCACTTCACTGCCCAAGTCAGCAGGAATAAAGGCCAGCTGTGTCAAGCCTATGCTATATCCTCTGGTCCTAACACTGATTTGGGAGGACAGAGTAAATCTCGGACAGAGTGAACCTTCAGTATGGCCTTAGTAATAGAACCTCAGTGGACCACTGACCTAATTTTAAATGTTTTTTGGTTAACTATGCTCCAAAGCTAAGTTGAAATGTCACGATTACTTTAGCCAGGAATCACCGAGCTTCTTAACAGCAATACTCACAGAGATAAAAATCTAGCTAGATTGTTCCTGCTAGAACAATCATTTTAGACAGGGGAGTTCATTTCTGTTCAGCAAATTACATGTGGACTGCAGGACTCCTCAATGATTTTAATTCAGCACCTAATTTGGCTTTTACTCCTGTCAAACAGCAGCCATCTCACAGGTAAAGGAGTCCTAGTCTTGCCAAAACATTGCAAGTACTTTTGATCCAAATGGTAACAGTCCAGGCTGGGAGGACTAAAATGAAACTCAAGCTAAAAGGTATCCTAGCAGAGATGTGTCTATCCTGATTGGGAATGTTTCTTAACAGCTCCCCCCCGAGGATGCTGGCCCTTACCTTCAAAGTAAAAACTCTGCTTGGTGTTCTGATCTCAAAAACCCCTTCCCCATTTTCCACCTTGCAGTCAAAGGTAGCACTGGCGATATCGATAGACCCCAAAGGGTTGATGTCCTGTGCAGTTCTGTAGTATAGTAAATGACATTTGTTTTCATCGTAAAAGAACCAGCGAGACTTCCACGTCTTGATTGGCCCCTTGATGCCCAGCTTATTTAAATAGCCACAGAGTTTTTTTCTGGGTGTTTCTCTGCTGGGTTTCAGCTGTACGTTTTCCAGTTCTCCAGAAGAGGAATGCATGTCTTTCTCTTTCACTGAGGCTCCGTTGCTGCTGTTATTGTCCGGATTTGACTCCGCTAAATTGCCTGAAGCGGCAAGGGGACAAGCTCCACTTCCCAGCCCTTTCTTCATCTCTTTCAGGAAATATACTCAGAATTGAATTGAAACAGGAATTTCTCTAGGTAAATAAGTAACAGCAGATCCCGACTACACCATCATTGTTATAGAACCTGCAGCAAATGAAAAAGGAGGAACAAGCTCAGGTCTGGCATACAACCAAAACCATTCCCTAGCTTTCAAACTGCCCAGCCAAGGTCCCTGATTTTGACTTTTAGTCATTGCTCCCTGAACTCCTTGGCTCAGATGACCTCTATATATCTGATTTCAGGTAAGTGTATCCTGGCATTCGCACTGAATGTTCAGCTAGTATTTTAAACATTGGTCTGGAGAAAAATGTAGCCTTTTTGCAGCACCCTTATAATAATTTGTGTCAGTTAAGGATTGCTGTTAAAAAGCTGCATGCTATGTGTTCGCTCTCCATCCAGTAGGCCTCATATGATGCATTATGCATGAGAGAAAATAATTCTGTGATCCTTGAAAAGGAGACTTGATTGCTTAGGGGCCACAGTAACTGCTGGGTTCCCAAGAGGAACGCAATATGCAAGAGAAAAACAGAAAAATGAGGCTGGAAGGGATCTGTGGAGATCTCTAGTCATACTTCCCTCCTGGAGAAGCAGCTGACTTCAAAGCCATAGCCAGCTATTCAGGCTGATATTCAGACGAATTTTGTTCATATGCATGGATGGCAATCCTGCCACGTTTCTGGGCACTTTTTCAAGTGCTTAACTACATGGCAGGTATGGTTTTTTTGCTCAGAACTCCAGACACCCATGGCCCTTGTACAAAGAAAACTAATAACACTCCAGAAAAACACCTATAAATAATTTCCTACATGTTTTTCTTAAGTAAAAACATGGTATAAAGATCAAGAAAGGAATAGAATATGAGAGACTTCAGTTCAGCCGCTAACATACCTGAAGCAAATATGTAAGCAGATAAATTGTCACAGCGTTACATTAGTGGGAATCCAACTGCAGACACAGAACCATTGAACACGACAGCCAGCTGTGTGACAAGAGATGAATAGAGATTAATACAGCGGAGCACACAGAGATGTTGCCCAAGCTCATGCTCTTAGGAACGACTTATCCTTATCATTGAAAAAAGCTTACCCATCCTGGGGCTGGCTAAGACCCATCACTGCTGCGCACTCCTGTTCCCACATTAGCTTTTTACACAACTATCGATAACGTTCACTCTTTTTGGACAGCTACTTAGCTTTTCTTTTAGTTCCCTCCCCTGACACCACATACCCTGCTGCTCAATGCATTCACAAATGCTAGGAAGAAGCACCTTTCATGAAGGTGCTGCCTCAGCTAAGCTTCTGAAACACCCAAAAGCTTCATTTCCAAGCTAGTTTTGCCTTGTACAAAGGAACAATCATCAGGAGGAAGCAACCGTCTCAACTCTCCCTAACAGACCATGGGGCTTTTATGGCAGTACCAGTGTAAGAACCTCCTGTACCATCTGAAGACTCCATCACACTTTTGCCTCTTGCAGCACGATGGTCCATGAACAGGATTAAGTAAGCATTTTGGGTTCAAGCACCAAGTTACAAGGACTCATGTCAGATCTGCATTGCAAAGCACTCTAGAGAAGATCTCACCTCCTTAAAAGAAGCGATGACCCTGGAAGTCACAGTCTCCTAGTGTAGAATTACTGCTGCAGGCACCACCGAGCAGGTAACTGCAGACTCCAAAACAAACCAAAGAGCAAAAGAAGAGGGGCTTCTGCCTCACGTTTCCTTCGGTCCAGTTCCTTTTCCTTCGGCCCGCTGAAGAACTGTCTGAAAGAGATGAAAGCAGCTGAGAAGCTGAAAGCAGCTCCGACACTGACTCATCAATGAAAAGAGAAGATGAGGGTGAACCCTGCACAGACCTTTCTGGAGCTGCTGGTGCGAGCAGCACAAGACGGACCCCCCCCCTCCCCCGCACCTCCCCCAGCGCCGCAGAAGCACCTCCCAGCCCAGCTGCAGGGTGCCAGGGCACAAGCCAAGGCTGCTGGAGCCTGGCACAGGGCTGCGCTGCCCGGCGCGGCGGGGACCGGACCCTGGTACCGCTTGTACCGACCGGCCCGGGGCGGGGGGATCCGGAGAACGGGCGGGGGTGGGGAGGTGCGGGGACCCGCCGCTCCGGACGGGGGTATCTTCTCCGACCCCACCGGCTGCTCCTTCCCCACCGGCTGCGGCCGCCGCCGCTTCCTGGCAGGGACCGGCGGGGCGGAGCACGGCGCAGCCCCGGGGAGGGCGGCGGGACGGAGGGAGCCGAGGAAAAGCGGGTGCGAGGCGGAAGACGCAAAACAAAAAAAACAAAACAAAACAAAAAACCAAAGAACACTATAAAAAAAGGGCATATCAGCCGAGTGTCGGTAAGAAAATGATTCACCGGGGTGATGCGGCGCATTGACAGCAAGCCCAGAGGGGGGAACTTGGGCTGGAGGGGACCAGCAGGTCCCATCTGCTTGGGAGGGATGTGCCCCAAACCTGCCAAACTGCCGGGGCAGTGGATGCGGGCTCGCTGCTCACCAGACCCCCGCAGCGTGAGAGCCACTGCCGTGCAGCCAGCTGGGGCAAATCGGGCAAGGCAAGCAAGTTTCACCAGGTAAACATGATGGTGCCACGGGAGACCGGAGGCCGGTAGGATCAAGCTGGGCGAAAATGGTCAAGACTGAAAAAGCCCCCAAAAGAGATACTGCAGGGAACAGGGAGTTCTGTTCCCCAGGGGGGAATCCCAAAAGGGATACTGCAGGAGGAACAGAGACTGCCGTAAGCCTGCAGGGCAGGTCCCGGGGGAGAACAGGGGATGGGACACACAGCACTGCCAGGCTCACACTCTCTCTGGCAGCTGTTCCAGCTGGCCTGGGAAGGCACTTCTTATGTCTTGTCCCCAGGATAAAGAGCCTGTATGGCTTGGACTTTCTCTGTGTGCAGTGATGGCTGAGCTTTGATGATATGACTCATTTCCACTGGTCTCAAGAAACCCTGAAGTTCAGCCAACTTTACCAAGTTCCATCACCAACTCTAGCCAAGTTTATTAGCAGAGCAGCAAGAAGCAAAAATGTCCACGTATGGTGGCCTGTCCTTCCACTGGCCTAAGCTCCACAACTGCAGCACACATTAAGCTGATTACAGCATGCAAACGCTATACATTTCCATTGCCAAAACCAATTTGTCACAAATCCAGCTTGCACAGCACATGGCTATCGAGACTGGGTAAGTGCTGATGGAGTCTAGCCCCCCCTAAGCAAAAGGGGAAAGTGTGAAGGTTATACCTGTGGTTGCATGAAGTCCTTCTCCTCCCCCCTCATCTGCAGCTGGAGGGAGAGGACCGAGTGTGACAAAAATGGTGCTATCAGGACAGCAGTGGCCTGTCTATGTGTCCGCTGCCCTGGAAGTGCCTTAAACCTCAAGTTCTCAACTGGTTAGTACCAGCACGCCTGCAAAATAAACATCCTTCTTCCAGCATTACCCTGGCACGGGCACAACCACACCAGGAACTGAGCTGGTGAAAACTCGAAAGCACTTTTGAGTTTTGTTGTGTGGGCCACAACCCCGGGCGGCTTCCAGCACCCAGCACAGGCTGCGTGACTCAGGAAGGGGACGGCGGTGGCGAGGCAGCACAGGCAGAGCGCGGGGGGTGCCTGCCATGCTGCCCCCACGCACCCACCCGCTCCCCGAGAAACCCGGCCTGACACGGGCACGGAGCGCCGGGCCCTTCACCCCGCACAGCCCCCTGTGCCACAGCGGGCCAGGAGGGATGCTCGGGGAGGGGACGAGCGAGAGACCTGACAGGAGCGGGAGGCGACAGCAAGCCGTCTGCGCCCAACACGGGCGACGCCGAGAGCTCGGCCTGGCGCTGGCGGCACCGCCGGGCACGCCATTTCCCGGTGGCAGCCCGCAGCGGGAAGGCTCTGGTGCCTCCGGGAGCCCTCGGGAAGGGTTTGATGCGAGGGCCGCGGTGCGAAGGGCCAGATGCCGGCGGCCAGGCCCGCCGCGGCTCCCGTGGGGAGCCCCCGCCTTCG